TCATTTAATTTTTCGCACTTAACCTGTTCACAAAATATATATATATATATATATATATATATATATATATATATATATATATATATAATTTACTGAAACTAACATAAAGTAGAAGAAACAAAATATCAATTTTTTCTGGAATCGAGAATGTTTAGCCGATGAGTCATAGCAACAACTGAAAGTTCATTTTTATGGATTCAATCATTCGTTACGAGGTGGAACAATAAGTTGCAGATTGATGGACAAATTAAAGAGAAAATCCAAAAGAATTGACTTTTGTAAAACAAAAACAAAGCTCTTATGCATATTTCAACTAATTGCTAGATACAATGCAAAAAAGTCATTTAAACTAGTCATAACTTACCTGATCACATGAGAAATCATAGATTGATGGACAAATTGAAGGAGAAAATTTGTTCTTTACGTGAACAGATTTAGTTAAGATGCAAGTGGTATTTTTTTATTATGAAGAAAACACATTCAGCCAAGCCCAAGCCACTTTATTTATGCTTTGACGAAAATGTCATAAACCAATTTTTGACTCTTCATATATATATATATATATATATATATATATATATATATATATATATATATATATATATATAGGCTTAGATTATTTTATTCAAAGTAATTATTGTGTTATTGTATGCATAAATGTGGGCCAATCAAATTTACTTATTTTAAGAAAGTGATTAATATATATTATTGAATTAAATATAATTAAAAATATCATCTTAATTAATTACAAGGGTAATTTAGTCAATTAATATAGATTTAATAAAGGAAAATTGCATTTTTTAAGGGATCATAGATTCTACTAATTTTAAAAATCCGATTTTACGAATTATAATTCTTTTAATTCGGACATTCTGACAGAATATGTTTATGAGTATATTCAAAAATAAAAATATTCTTGAACCATAAATAATAAAAATATTTTTGAACCTATTTCTTGATCATGAATTTAAAAACTTCTTGTAGAATAACAAATTCTTGAACAATCAATTGAAGAATAAAAACAAAAAATACATTATTTCTTATAGAATACGCGTAACAATTGTTAAGAATTACATTTATTGTTAAAGAATAAAACTAAAAAACAATCAAAACGGGAAAGAAAACATCAAAATCTAACAACGACTAATACATTCTAAAAGAATAATGTGGTCCGTTTCAATTTTGTGGTATGTTCTTCAAGCATCAACTTCTGTGATTCCAACAGAATTGGAATTCGTCATTCCATTCCAATAGAATTTGAATTCGTGATTCCATTCCGCTAGAATTGGAATCTCACCAATATCATCCATTGAATCATCTACATAAACATACATGATACATTTTCAGATTTCAACATTGTCAAGATCCTGCACTGTCCACATAAATGAAGTGTTAAATCAGAAAAAAAAAATCGAATGAAAAGCAATTTAATCATTTCCTGTCAAAAGAATCAGAAAAAAGACAAGCTATGGAGATGATCAAACCTTTGCAACAAGAACTTACGCTCCTTGAATTGACTCCTAGCTTTTACCATAATTTCCATTCGGCTTCTTGAATGCCTTTCAATTTGAGCTTCCACCCATATCAAAGGCTTCACATAAATAAGAACCCTAATCCATCGCAGTTCATACTCCATCCAAAAAATTAGAAAAACTCGGCGATTTTCTTCAAGGAAATGAAGATTTGGAACAACCCATCAACAAGAATATTCAACACTTTGACTTACAGTGATTTGGAAGAAGCCACCAATAATTTCTCTGAAAGAAGCTCCTTGGTCGTGGCAGACATGGATTAGTCTACAAAGCACTCCTCCGCAACGGCCGTCTCGTCGCCGTCAAAAAAACCCTCTCATCACAACCACCGTCATTCTGCCATCTCCACCTTGCCGGACAACAAAGTCGAAAACGAAATCGACGTCCTGTCAAAAATCCACAGCCCTCGTCTCGTTAATTTAGTCGGATTCACAAAAACCCCACATCAAAATCAGTTGCTGGTAGTGGAATTCATGTGTAATGGAACACTCTACGACACCCTCCATATCAGTCGACACCCTTCATTCCTCTGTTCCACTGGTGATCCACCGTGATATTAAGTCAGCGAACATTCTTATTGACCGCAATTTGTGATCTGCTAAAGGTTTTTCCGAGAATAACACCATTATTCTCAAATAATTGCACGGTTTTCCTTCTTCTGTGTCGAGTTGTGGAGCGCAAAAGACGTGAGAATGTGGGATCGAGGAATGTGAGGCCCGACGATGGTTTTAAAAAGCTGGATGGAGAAACCTAGATAGTTGAAGTCAATGTTTACCATAACAATAGGATATTATTTGGGGAAACGAATTATCTAATTACCTATTTACCCTTATTTATTTATTTAATTATTTATTTTTATTTTAAATTTTGATTAGCCCACAGTTATGCATACAATAACACAATACTTACTTAAAACACCCGAACTTATCTCTGTGTCTCTCTCTCTCTTTCTCTCTCTCTCTATCTCTCTCTCTCTCTCTATATATATATATATATATATATATATATATATATATATATATATATATATATTGATTGAATAAAAAACTCATAAACCAATTTTTGAGTTTTCAATAGAAAACATGGCCTAAAAAAATTTTAAACGAAAAAAAGGAAATGGGTTTTGTTATAATCCGGTGCATATGTGTCCATTGTAAAAGTCTACAACCCTTCCTTTTGTCATTGATCGCTTTAAATTTCGACGCTTTGGATTGGTTCCTTGGTTCTTTGATTAATAATGGTTCACTATTTATCTCTTCTATATATATATATATATATATATAGGTTCAGGTTCATTTGAAACCATGGTAATTTTGTGAGACCGTGAGACCAAATCTAAAAATAATTTTAAAATGCAAAATAAAAGGAAAAATCCGAAATTTTTTTTAATTATTATTATCGACAATTTAATTACCTAAAAAAAATTAAAAAATTACCGTTTTATTTTGAAAAATACGTGTAATATTCTAATAAAATATTACACTGTAAATATTCTAATGTGATTTTTAGAATGTTAAAATATTCTACTAGATTTGTCAGATATGTAGAATATTCTAGTATTCTACTAGAATATGTAAAAAAATGTATTTTTTTTTTTGGAAAATATAAATTCCGAAAATAATATTTGAAAATTTGTTTTTTCGAAAATTTACAATTTAAAAATATTTTTTTTATCTATCAAATGAGTGGTTAAGATTGTGTCTCACGGTCTTACAAAATTAGGCCGTGTCAGAACCTAACCTCTATATATATATATATATATATATATATTATATATATATATATATATATATATATATATATATGATTTCATTAAATAAGAAAACGGATATACATGAAGATAAGAGTATTTTTATTTATTTTCTTGGGGTAAATGTTGATAAAGGTCTTGGTTGGATTGGGGAGGATATGATGGGATAGTTACAGATGGTTGTACCATGTGCAGAGGTATTAGTACGTTAAGGGAAAGAGCATCTTTGAGGGGGAGGGACAGGTGTCCCACAATTAACGGTTACGGGAAGTACTTGAAGGTTAAATGTTGGGGGCAGTTCTGTTGGTGTTGGTGTCAGACTAAATATGAAGTACATGTTTGTACTTTGCGCTTTCATTGTTTTTCACACTTCTCCTCTTCCCCAGCTGTTCCTTAGCTGTTCCTTCTTTGACCTCAGTCAACGGTCAACTTTACCCGCTTCCCTCCAATCTACAATCTAATCTCATAAAGTATTTTATTAATAGTTAGATATTAGATACTTAGTATATTCTTAAAACATAAAATAAGTAAAATGTATTTACTACATACTTTAAAAACACATCTAATATATTTTAATAAAAAATAAGGCATGCTATATAAAAAATTTATTTACAAAAAAGAAATTAGTTTCAATACAAATATTTTTAATTTAATCATATAAGAATATGACTACAAAGAGAAGATGTTTGCTTTAGATAACCAAATTTAATTTAAAAAATGCAATCTCTTAGATGAATATTAATTAGATTAGAATATTATGTAACATTGAACCAATGAAAGGTTAATTTTTTTTCTAAAGTTATTTTAATCAAACTTTTAGTGGAAGCTTTTAACTTTTAAGGTATCTAAATAAATAATTATTATAGTTTTTTACAAGATGCCAACAATACATTTTTTATTTTTTTAACAATAAATTTACTCTAATAATAAATTTAAATATATATATCACATATTTAAACCTTCGATTTCAAAAAGTTACACCTAATGTATCGTTGCAACAATTTTTTTTTGTTATTCTTTGAGTTTATTTAAGTGGAAAAAACCCCAATGTGAGAAAATATTAAGGCTGAAGGGAGTGGCTCGCCACTCCCCCTCGCTAAGCCATCGTTAAAAATTCGCTACCACTCCTTATAGGGTCGCTAAGTACATGCCTTAACAATGTTGCGCCATTTGCTTGGCGAGTGAAAATGGAAAAATAAAGTAAGCATGTGGTCCCCATCTTATTAATTCACTTTATCTGTTTGTAACTTCAACATTAAAACTTGTACCTTTCATTTAATTTATTTTATTTAAATATTTAAATAAGAATTTATTTGATTTTAAAAAAAATGTTTATCTTTTAACCACATCACCACTCCATATTATCATATTATGCTTACGGGTCTAGAAAAATATGACGTGTCAATGTTTTAGCACTTGCTATCACATGTTACCACTCCCTCTAGCTTAAAGGGTAAAACGAATGAAATACTCACGTGTTTAATCAAAAACATTAAAATAATTTGATAATTCAACATTCTTGTAATAAATTGCCATTCAAGAAAGGTAGAAATCTCGGTGGGGGCAATAATGGAATTTCAAATTCAAAAGGAGGAATTAATGTTGGTAACTAGGAAGAGGGTGGTGGGGATGTTTTGGGTGTTAATTGTTTGATACCCAAAAGACAAGAGCAAAAAAAGGAGAATCTTGTGAAAGAGATTGACGTTGAAGTCAAATTGACTGTTAGAGATCCATTTATCCCACTACCAAAATTACAATTTTGCCCTCCACCATCCAGCTTCATGCAAACTCCATCATCAAACACAAACTTCTATGGTGATTTTCACATCGAAAATCCCTAAATTACCCTCACTCCTCTACCTAAAATTACACGAATAACCCCCCATCTTCCAATAAAAAATCACCCCCACCTTTACATCATTCATACTCATTGCATCCTAAATTCCATGTCCCGGCAATTACTTGATCCTCCTCCTTGAGTCATCATTTCCTATAATTAAAATTTCAAAAATGAATGACATCTTATATACATATACACAACAAAAAATAACAATATTTACTATTTCATTGGTTATAAAATAATTATTAAATATATCAACCAATTTGGATGGAAAAAAGATACCATTTCATCATGACATCTTGTATATTTGCTAAATCTTTTTCAAGTATGTCCCAAATAAAATCTAATATTCGGATTTTATGAAAAATATCAAGATTTTCTGATAGTATTTTAAGATTTAAAAATATTTGTTAGCTTTTCTTTATAATAATTAAGGAACAAAAAATCTTGAAATTTGAAACTACTTAAAATAAATTAAACTTAAGTACCTGTGAAGATTTGGAAGCATGAACGTCATCTTGACCCGACACAGACCCAGACCCGGATCCGTCGTTCTTATCGGATCTTTTCGACCCAATGTGAGATTTCCGGAGACCCAAAAACCCTTTCCACCGTGTACCACTAGAAGCCTTCGGCGGCCTAAACAAACTACTGCCACCGCCGCCACCACCTCCGTTGCAGTCTTCATCTTCTCCGGCAAGGAGCTCATCACGAAGAGTGGTTTTCTGTCCGATACCGGATCCGGCGGCACTATCCTTGAAAGGCAACAAACGACCCTTGAAGAAAAGCTCATCAGCAGGCATCATGGAGTTGTTAGAAACGGAAAACTCGAAGTCGGAGGAAACCGGAGCGGAGTAGTCTCTGGTGGATTTGAGGATCTGGGGACGAGAATGGAGAGATTCAGCGAAGTCGTGGGAGAAGGAAATACGGGGGCTGATGGGTGGATTAATGGAGGATTTAGGGTGGTCGGAGCTTTGTTGATGATGATGATTATACATGATGATAATGATATTGTCTAAACATGCCATGAACATGAAGGAAGCGGCATAAGAGGAAGTAGAATGGGAAGAGGAGGAAGACGACAAAAGAAGTCTGAACTCTGAATCACTGTTGCAAGAAGATGAGGTTGTATTTATATATGTGGGGATGGTGGATTTCTGGGGGGAAAATTTATCGACCTCAAATTTGAATCAATCAAATTATTTCATTCCACCTTGATATTGTTATCATTATTATTCTAAATTGGAGGTGGTATAGATAACTTTTGGATCTTTTCAATACATGGAGTTCTATAAATTTGTTATTTTTTATAAATAATAATAATAATAATAATAATAATAATAATGAATACACGACTAAGGTTATGTTTTGGTGTACATTTGTTAGTTTTTTTTCTTTTCCTTTGGGTTTTTTATTTTTGGAATTTATTAAAATTTAATATTTTACCAAAACTCAATAAAATAAACTATAACTTAATATATCTTAGGTTATAGTTTATTTTAATAATTTTTTGGTAAAATATTAAATTTTAATAAATTCCAAAAAAGAAAAACACAACTAATGTAGTTTTGAAGGCCTCGTTTCGTTGTAAGAAGAGAAGGAACTTTATCTTGAAACTTTTATATTTGATTGTTTGAATTATTTGGAAATCTTGTAATGATTTCGTGTTCAACAAAAAAAGATGTTCTTCTTTAAAGACGAAAGATGACATCTACTTGACTTTGTTCGACTGGATCATGAATGGATCTTCTCTAAATTATGTTTGTTCTCTAAATTATGTTTGTTGGCATGATTGGTATATTTTCTCTTTTGTTGCTTGTTTGATGTAATATTTTTTCTTTGTTTTTTTTTTCTAGCGTCTTGCTACTTTTTAATGAAGCTTCCATTAAAAAAATGTCGAATGTATAAAGTACTTTATAATTTAAAGTGTAAAATAAAGATTTGGTCTATATGGTTTGTTTTGATATGTATGTTTGGTTTATTTTTTTTCTTAGCATAGTGCGTTTTCTGGTTCTCTAAATCTTACCTCGTAGGTCCCTGAGACAGTTACCGCACGTCTGTAATGCTCTGTTAAATTATGAAATATGTTCCCCCAAACTTCACCACTATTCGACATTGCCACTTCCTTTGACTGCCCTCACAACCCACTACCATCAACATGACTTTCACATCTTCTATTATACATATCAACATTAAAATCAACATTGTAAATTGATTCATATAAAATAGCTTAAAGCAAATTAAAAGTTCAAAATTAACATACATTCATTTGTTTACCAATATACACACATTCAAAATCATAAAACCTAAAAAAATTTAAAACAACTAATGATTTTTTATTTAAAATGGTAGGATTACTTCTTATGTATATGCTCTAAAAGGAATCTCCCATGGAAGCAACTTTGGGATTTGATATAAAATAAACATTTACTATTTCCCCACACCGGTCAATGTCGTAAAACTCATAAAAAACCAAAACATCAATTCAGTTTGAATCTACAAATTCCAACTGGGAGAGTGAGAGGGTGAGTGGTCAAGTTTCAGCCTTTGATATTGATAACAAGGGGTTAGTGACGCTGCATGGTAGAGTCTGGGTGCCTTACACTGGTGGAGCTTGGCAAGTTTTGATGGATGAGGCCCATTAATTGAGATTTTCCATCCATCCGGGAGCTACACAAATGTATCTTGATCTGAGACATGACTATTGGTGGCTATGCATGAAGAGAGATATAGCTTGGTTCGTAGAGCGATACTTGACCTGCTGGAAGGTCAAAGTCGAACATCAGCGCCCTCATAACAAGTTGCAACCTTTGTAGGTCCCATTATGGAAATGGGAGCAAATTACGATGGATTTCATTCCAAAACTACCAAAGACTACTAATTGTTTTGATGTCATCTGGGTGATAGTGGACCATATGACGAAGAACGCTCACTTTCTAGCTATATGAGGGCTCTTCTGCTGAGAAATTGGTTGAGGTTTATGATTCTATCATGTCTGATCGAGATGTTCGTTTCACTTCCAGACTTTGGAAGAAGTTTCACAAGGAGTTGGGTACCCGATTGCACTTCAGTACTGCCTACCATCCGCAGACATATGGGCAGAGCGAGCAGACTATTTAGAGGCTCGAGGACATGTTGAGGGATTGCATCATTGTGTAGCACCTGGTTCTTGGTATGTATTTTTATTTAAGTATTTTTGCATTTTTGGCCTTGGACTCGGCGAGTTGAAGGACCAACTCGCCGAGTATAAGCGGGATGAGGCGCGGGCTTTAAGTGATGGACTCGTCGAGTCGGGTCCCGGACTCGACGAGTAGACTCTGACTGGACAAAAACCCTAATCCGAGGGTTTGCACCCTATTTAAACAATGTTATGTCGGCCACAACGTCCCTTATGCTCCCAGAACACCTCTCACTGAAACCCTAGCCGTTATTGAAGCAATCTAAGCCTTGTTGGTGGATTTTGGTGCTTGTGGTCTTAAGAAGGAAGGAGAAAGGCTTGAGGAAGCAAGTAAAGACCAAGGGAACCCGAGTTTGTGCACCTTCTACAGTTCATTGAAGGTAAAAAGCTGTAACCTTGCTCTTTCATTTGTTAGATCCCTTTTTGGGGAGATTTAGGGCTTTTATAAGCCACTTTTTATGGCCAACCATGTTTACAAACATGGTTGGGGGTTAGAGCTTCGGAATCACGTCATTAAAGGAGTCACAAGGCAGTTGGGGACTACTTTTGCACCCATGAAAGGCCCTATGCATCTTAAGAGCTTGTTTTATGTCTTTTTGAGCTCAAAGTCCCATGCAAGTACGTAAAGTTTGTAACTTTACGTGCTAGATCGATTATAAAAGCTTGGATCTATCTTTTGATCAAAGGTTGTACATCAGAAATCAAGGATTTAGAGTGTGGACATGACTGACTCGGCGAGTCCATTCTTGGGACTCGACGAGTCCGAGGCTTTGAGCCCCATATCTGTTGAGAGTCAAAGGAACCCAGTTGAGTGTTAGAAGGGTTGTAATCCGACAGGAAGAGTTACCCAATGTATTGGACGTGATTTTAGACCTGGAGTTCATGGGACTCGACGAGTGCTAGAACAGACTCGGCGAGTCCAAGGCAATCTTCTTAAGGATGAAGATGAACTCGACGAGTTGTTCATCAACTCGGCGAGTCGAGGACAGAACTTGTTCATCAGATGAAGGTGAACTCGACGAGTTGTTCATCAACTCGGTGAGTCGGATGAGTTTCATGCGATGTTCATATGAGGGAGGAACTCTTCGAGTTGACGGCCCAACTCGACGAGTCGGGTCATGGATAAGGATGAGTAAAGGGTGAGGGACTCGGCGAGTTGACGGCCCAACTCGGCGAGTCGGGTCAACTTGAAGTTGACTTTGACTAGACTTGGACTTACCCTGTTTAGGGTTGTATTGGCTGTGTGTTGACTTGAAGGTCGTCGTGTAGGGATCGAGGAGTCGAAGGGAGTCGACTTGTGCGCCGAGGATAATTCAAACACTGCACGACATTGAGGTGAGTTACCTTCCAGTAGGGATGGGTCTAAGGCCACAATGCCAGCCCATCAAAGAGGAGTATTTGTAAGATGATTGTCTTTATGATAATTATCTTGGTTTGGTTATGTGCTTTGGTCACGAGTATTATCTGCATGATATGTTACGTGTATAGTAGGGATTAGGATCCCTGACAGCGCCCTTAGGGTCGTGGGGTAGGTCAGTACCCGGATATGCCTGACTGTATGATTGTACCTTGTTGTTGTATGCTAGTGGTAGGGGGTGGTATAGTCCCCAGTTACCGGTTGAAAGATACCGACGACAGTTACCGATTGAAAGATACCGACGACAGTTATCGGTTGAAAGATACCGATGATGGTTACCGGTTGAAAGATACCGATGACGATTACCGGTTGAAAGATACCGATGTTGGTTACCGGTTGAAAGATACCGATGATGATTACCGGTTGAGAGATACCGATGATTTTGTATGGTATGTGGTATGATGGGGGAACTCACTAAGCTTTGTGCTTACGGTTTCGGTTTTGGTTTCAGGTACCTCTTCGTCTAAGGGGAAGGAGCCGGCGGCGTAGCATCGCATCACACACACACATATGATTTCCGCATGGAGTTTTCTGGGATTGTACTCTGATATGTTATTATTCTATGGCTTGGGTTTTCAGACATGATACATTGTTTTATGAGATGATGTGTTTTCACAATATTTTCTTATGAATGTTTTTATGTGTTGGTTAATTAAAAAGAAATTTTTGGACCTGAAAATTAGGATGTTACACATTGATTTTGGTGGGAGTTGGGACTCCTACTTTCCGTTGGATGAGTTTTCTTACAATAATTACCGTCATGCTAGTATTGGCATGCCTCCCTCCGAGATCCTCTATAGGAGGAAGTGTCAGAATCCTATTAGTTAGGGAGAGGTCGAACAGAGGGTCATAGGGAGCACTGAGATAGTGCTCAAGACGATAGAGTTTATCCACAAGGTCACACTGAGGTTACTGATAGTACACCATAAGAGTTATACGAACCAATGGTTCTCTGATTTAGAGTTTCAGGTTGGGGTGTAACATCCCAAAAATTTCATTTTTTGAATTAAGTAAAAACACTATTCCAAAACATTGTTCATACAACCCAATAAAATAGGTATGTCAACATTATAAAAATCAGAGTATGTCCCATAAACAGAATCCATATGGTGTGTGCGATGCAGTCAACCCGAGCTCTTCCCATTGGAACCGGAAGTACCTGAAACATAAACTAAAAAACGTAAGCACAGAGCTTTGTGAGTTCCCCAAGATACCGCATATCATACATATCATATAACAGGCCCGCCCACACTCGCATAACGGGCCCCGCCCAATGAGATAAGGGCCCCACCCACACTCGCATAATGGGCCCCGCCTAATAAACTTGCATATACAAGCATATACAAGTATCACACAAACAACAAGTTGAAACAACCCAATTTTTTTCAAATAAAAATTTCATTTTTAAATAATTAAAACATTCCCATAGACCATAAAACCTAAATGACAATTGTTTTCAAATTCAATGACAATTGTTTTTCAAATTCATAACATCAACATTTT